TGAAGAAGAGGGGTGCCCTAGTTCCGTCTTCAATATTTTGGAAGGATTATAAATTTTTGGCAGCAACGATGTTGTATGATTTCGATTTGGGAATATTTTCAATGTAGAGAATAAACAAAACTACGAGGAAACAATTAACTATAAATTTTGCAATCCTATTTTCACTTACACCGTTTTCCAGATGGCACCCATGCTGGAATACCTGGATAAATCAGAAAAATTTATTTAACCTGGAAAAATTAGGGAATTTATGAAAAATAAGGAAGGTTTACAAGACAGGATACGCGAGAGCGAATTTCCTATTGCAATATAGAATCATTATTGTTATCATTAAGTTTATATAATGATATATGTATACTCAAGTGTACATTTGACACTTCTAAAGTATTTCGGTTTTATAATTTTTTAAGAGAAATTTATTTTTTCTAAGTATATTTTTAAAATATACTTAAATATTTTCAGTTATTATTCTTTCATGACAACAAAATGAGTTTTGAGAGTTTTTTTTGACAAAGTTAAAAAGTATTACAGATTTCTATTGCTTTTAGTATAAAAAAAGCTGTTTTTATTTTTATTTGTATGCCAGAGAGAAGCAGTATAATTTTGTTACAAGCCTTACAATATTGTATTTTGTATCAAAATGTTAAATATTGCACCAATTAGGCAAAATTATTATTAATCAAGATAAATTTGTAAAAATTTTATAAGAATCACATCATTTTTTATTATGCTTAGCTTACATTCAGTTAGAAAAAAAATCGGAAGAATTATTAAAGTATGTATATATTTATGTTCTTTTACATTTTTTCGATGACTTGAAAACCTGTAGAACTAAGGGAATACCATAAGTAAGTTAAGAAAAAAACCTTGTCAATTAATTAACATAAATTTTATGTTTGAAAAGTTCCTACAAGAAGTTTCATTTGCAAAATGGAAACGGATTCACATATCCAGAGGTACATTCTCTTATCCTACATCCAGCGACATCTCCTTGTCCCATCTGCATACCACACCTCGCTGCCTAATGAATCAGATTCCAGCGGCTGCCCTGGTGATCCTTCCAGGCTATTCTAATTGTTCTTTTCTAATCGGTAGGCTTCACGCCCGTTTTCTTTTTGTTGCGAATTTACATGCTCTAGAGGCAGTTAGCGGTCGAAACCTCTAGGTTTTAACAGGCATTTCTGTTTTATTTTATTTTTATTCTAGTTTGTTCGATTCTTTCTTTTTTTCATTCCGACTGATTTGCATTCTTTCCTAAATCTACTCTAAATGTCCCTGTTCCTTATTTTTTTTTAAGTCTAACCTTTATCTCAGCCTAAAACGATAGTTGTTTTCAACGTTTCTACTTTATATATATATATATATATATATATATATATATATATATATATATATATATATATATATATATATATATATATATGTATATGTATAATAACTATATATAATAATAACTAACATATGATTTTTATGATTTTTTTTTTTAAATTTTTATAGAATAATTTTAATCATATTACCACTTTTAATTTGTTAGTTAATCAACGTATAAACTAATTTAATAAATTAAAATGCCCTTCAATGTGGCAGAATGTATTAATATTCTATAAAGAAAGTTAAAAAAAAAAAAAAATTAACACACATATATACACATATTAACACATATACATTAATATATATCAACGCACCTCGACGGGCGTTTACCAAAATCTAAAATATATTACGAAGTTCATACTGTATATTCATTTTTAAGAATTATAATAAATATACTATGTACATCAAGTCATGAAAACTTATTCATTTCCTTACACCTTCTTTCATCGTACTGCTTTAAAAGGTTTTAGCTGATATATATATATATATATATATATATATATATATATATATATATATATATATATATATATTGAGCTCCTTGAATTGTAATGAATCAATTTATATATTAAAAATAAAATAAAAACCGAACGGTAAAAAAAGTATTAAATTTAATGAATTAATATATAATATTTAGCAGTGTTGTTGAAATGTTCAAATGTATAATTTTTAGTTCCATTATATATTATATATTAAATAATATTTAGCAGTGTTGTTGAAATGTTCAAATCACTAGCGGATTCAGGATTTAATTTTGGGAGAGGGGGGACTTCAGCCCGAAAGATTTTTCATATGCATATAACGATAATTAATTAGAAAAAAAAAAAAGTAACTAACTACCTATATGAAATGGTATTTAAGTGGTTCTTGAAGTCCTATTAAATGTAATTACTCGAACAGCAATACTTAAAGAGATACTTTTTAAATATTTTTTTCTGTAAAACATGGTTACATTTTACCATTTTTGGAGGAGGAGGGGGGCTTCAGCCCGAAAGCCCCTCCCCCCCCCTCGTAGATCCGCCCGTGGTTCAAATGTATAATTTTTAGTTTCATTATATCTTTTAATTTATTAAATTAGTTTATACGTTGATTAACTAACAAATTAAAAGTGGTAATAGGATTAAAATTATTCCATAAAAAAAAAACATAAAAATTATATGTTAGTTATTTTAAGTTGATATTTTTTTTTATACAATAGTTAGGTATGTGTAAGTTTTTTTGTAACATATAATTCTAAATTGCCATCATAATTTATTTATTTGTTCACGTTTGGAGATTACAATCTTTAATTTATTCATGAAACACAGATTATTACAATTTAAAATATATAAATTATATGATTTATTTTTGGTGAATAATTTAACACACAAGTTACACAGGACCGTGTAACTTGCGGCAACCCAGCTTGTGTTATCTTGTTTCCCTGTCCTTACACTACCAATTATCACCAAAACGGAAGACCAAACCTACACCAAACACCCTGTTCCTCTTAAAGCCGTTGCGCCCTCCACGACTCCCAAATCAGTTTTTTCTCCTCCCTCCGATCGCCTTTAAATTCAAATCACTCAGCCTCTACACTAATTAGTCTAAATTAATAGAGACTCGCTTCGACCCCAGCAGTGACAAAGCGCTAAGAGATATCAGCTATGCAAAGCCCTTTGGGACGTTATAAATTTTAAACGGATCCGAGTTTTAATGAATATACAGGGGCTAAAGTCGACTGGAAAAGGTTTAATATGGAAATTTGGGCTGCTTTGCATAGTCCTCTTTGGATGGTGTTATCAGGGAACCCTTAGCTCAACTAATTAACCAAAGGCTAATAAGCCCTAGTACTCGATATTGTGTAGGCACGTCCCGTGGTGTATCCCTCCTGTCACTCAACCGGAAATATTTTCCTTTTATTTTTTAATTTAATATCACATCCAACATTTCAATCAATTTAGAACGCTTATGGTGTTTATCTCAACGACTATTAAGTATTTATGATAGTTAATAACACCAATCATCTCAGCTCAAGATGTTATTGTAAACTTTATTGTATTTCAAACAAAAACTAAAAGTCCTAAAGCATTAAGTCTTTAAAGTTATAAGCTTACGTTTCTCTCATTCAATGCCTGAGGTATCTGCCAGAAAAAAAATATATTGACTACAGTATAAAAATTATTATACTAATCAGAGCTGAACTTCAGTGATATAAAATAAGGTTATTAAAACATTCAGAATTTGAACCTACATTTTTATATCAATCCGGCTTGGAGGACCATTTCTATTTCTATTCTTATTGTATTTTATTGCCCTATTTCTCAATCTGCTAATAGGTTAATAATTTAATATTTTAATTAAAAATAAATAAAAAACATAAAATATCTTTAATACTATTCTGCCCCAGCTCATCACCATTTTAAAAAAAAGATTAGCCAAAAAGAGATAGAAAATCACTCTAAGACAAATCAACGTATACCTATAAGAAATTATATGAGTTGAAAAGATTTGTTCAAAACATTTTAGTTTTTCAGATTCCTGAATTGGTCAAAACGGTAATTAGCAATAAAGTATAAATTAATAGAGACGAGTTTTTTTTTTTTTTTTTTTTTTTTTTTTTGTTTTGAAAGGTTCTAAAACATAATTTAATAATAATGTTTGTCACAAAATCGAATTTCCATTGTATAATATAGGAAAAAATAAATCCATATTTAAACTAGTAATAAGTTAAGACTTGGTTATATATTTTAGTTTTTTTTTCGGTCTGTTGTTGCCATGCTCTATGTTGCGTTATACTTATAATATTTTTATAACTGACAGTTACGGTATATTGTTATTTGTAACTTAGGTGCCTTTTAAGTACGATTTTCCATACACTCTAACCGATTTAGAAACCATATACACGTGGGGTGCGTTGCCCCCGCAGCACTTCCAGCCTCCTTTCTATCTCTCTCCTCTTGGACGAAGGTTTTATTATTATCTTCGGAGGAAGGGTGGAACTGGCTATAAGAGGGCAATCGTTGGGTTCGGGTTTTACGGCCTTCTGATGATTGTTTCTGTGTAATATGTGCTGTTGCCGAGGGTATCACTGATGTGATAGGCTCGGCGTCCTATCTCCTACAATCCTTCCTTGTTTTCTTATGTCAGTGATGATCGGCAACAGAAATGCGACGCCTAGTGGCTGAAACAATGTTTATAAATTGCATTCCTTAACAAAACTTCTATTTAACTATTTTATTTTATTTCTAGCTTATGTTTCTGATTTCATAAGTTACAGACCATACCCACTAGTTTCTAATCTTTTTTCCCATTCAATGCCCTACTTAAAAATAAAATATTAACTTTCTAACATAGATCTCTTATCCGGTCTTCTTCGCTATTGTTTTATTAATCAGCATATTTGTTTATTGTATTTTTCTTTTCTTAATATCAGTAAATATTAAAGAAATAATTAATTTGAGTGATATAAACTAAGATTATTAAAAAAACATTTAGAATTTCGATTTACTTTTTGTCATCAATCCGGCTCGGAGGACCATTTTTATTTATATGTTCTTTCATTCTCATGTTTATTAGTAATATGGCGATAGATTAATAATTAAATATCTTTATAATGGTAGTAAAAAAAACTTCCTATTTTGTTTCAGTGTGCCCACCTGGAAAGTACAAGCACGCTACTGGCGATGACCACTGCCAACCTTGTCCTCCGCACAGCAAGGCACCGGACTACGGATTGTCTGAGTGTCGGTGCAACTCAGGATTCTACAGGTCGCCTGAAGATCCCAAGAGCATGCCTTGCACACGTAAGTAGATATAAATAAAAATATGTTTAAGTTATACGTTGATATTATTTTATTATTAAACTTTATTAACATGATTAACTTAGGAAAGAGGCGGATGGTTCATTTCACATGCAATACCTATTATTTGATGTTTCCATACGTTTCGTTTTCTTTGTAGGTCTTCTACTGATAATAAATCGTACAATAAATTATAACTCTACAAAGATTATGAGTCGCAAGTTACATTTGCATACAAGAAAATTCATCTATATGTATAGATATTTGTATATACTTCGTATCTTGTTTGTAGGTGGGATTGAGGATCGAAACGTCAGTATTTTATAAATATAAATTTCATAGCGGTTGTATGTTCCATTTTGTACTTCTTCTTCACCATCATTATGACAATGCCGATTTCAAAAATGTTTAATATCGATGTAAATTGTAATGCAATTAAATATTTTCTATTTATCATATAATAACATTTTGATTCCTTTTAATAACTGAAATAAATTGTATAACGTTCCTTGCGATTATTTATCAAAACAAAAATATCAAACTCGCAATGCCGTTTTAGTAAAGATATTTTTGCAAAAAATATAATAAAATGATACTATCTAAATATTAAAAAATTAATTACCATTAGTGTTAGTGCTTTCTGTATATTTAACATTCTTCTCGAATAATGTGATAGATATATAATAAATATAGTGATTTATTTTTTACTTAAATATTTATAAGTGATAAGTGAATTATATATTCTTATTTCACTCCAATTGCTTAAGTGATCACAACAATCATAATTTATTCATACACTACAATTATATAGATGAATATCATAATCCATTATAATTACCATTGTGTCAACCTTATTTGAATAGAGGTAATATATGCGATTTATGAACAGTCTCTTTGTTTATTTTTATCTTTTTCACTGCTTAATGATATTATTTTTATTAAATACAGATGAGAAGAAATAAAAAAAAATTAACAAGGGGCAATGGCGGATATCAATAATTTCTGTGATGGGAAAGCTGATTCGGTCCTGTTTGTTCAATTGATTGTGAAATTCCACTGACTTGATTACAGCGGCGAACAAACAAATAAATCATATTGGGGGATTCTGCTAATACGCAATCATCTATTCTCTTTTATTTCTTTCATGGGCTCCCAAAGATTTAAAAGTATATCGATGTATTCAACGATTAGTGGTAAATGGAGCATTAATTTTGCCAATATTTGGCATTTTAATTAATTTTCTTAATACTTCACCATCTATTAGTTCATGGGTTTGCTGAATTAACAATTGGAATAAGTAATGGTTGAATAATACCAGTCACCCTCCCTCCATCTCCGTCGTCCCCAAGGTCGATGGTGCATAAACCTCCTTCCCCATACCCATTATTTTATTGCTCCCCTCTTCGTAAAAACAATGTAAGTGAAAGTAGGATTTAAAAAATTAGTAGATCATTGGCCATTAAGCACTTGTTTTTATCGATACCGTACCTCACTATTTCTGCCATACAGAAGATTGTTCTAGAGGTTCAGCCAAACCTATTTGACCAGAGTGGGAAGATCTAGTAGATTCATTCTTTGGGTTCACCATGAAATAAATTTTAACTCGTCCAGGTTGGATTCTAACCTTAGTCTCGAGAATGTTGAAGTTTTCTCTTTAACACGCTCGGTCATCACGGCGTCATGTGCAATTAAACTTGCAACGGTCTCTTCCGTGTTTTCTCCTTCCCCACTGGAAACCTTTAATTCCGAAAAATCATAATCCTCTCAAAAATTTAAAAAAGCGTCAAAATATTCCCTTTCGAAAATTCGAAAACCTGTCAAAATGTGTCCCTTTCAAAAATTTTAATGGCGCTACATCAAACTCCCTTTTGGACACCCCAACGTATTTCATATTTGCATTGGAAAGACAATTAGAAGAAAATCCAATAAGACTCTTCAATTCTAACAGGTGTCTGAACACTTTTTCTTTTTTTCCCCGTAAATTACACGATATTTTAGCAGAAATAAGGGATAATTATTTAATTTATATCCTGTGGAAATTGATATTTTCCTCCACTGGAATTTATCCCTATTACAATTCCAATTCAGTTCGTACTTCAATAATATTACCGTATCAGCTCAACCCCCCTCAAACAGCACGAATGCATATATTACGCCTACAAACAGGATTATATTTTGTATTTACTTTACATTTGTAACTGGTGTGTAAATATTGTAAAGCAAACAGGACCTGACCAGCGAAGATAAAATCCAACCAAATAAAGGCGAGCTTGTGCCATGCAAATCCTCTGACGACTGTAAGCCCCCCCCCCCCATTCTTCCCCCGAACTGGCCACATTGACAGATCAAGAGATTAACAATTCCAGCGTCCGTTGCAGGACCCGCTCTTCATCCATCCTTAAATAAACAATTGGGAAGAAATATCCGTCCATAGAGTCGAAAATTTTGGTTTATTGTTTTTTAATTTGACGTTTGCTCCACTTTCCGATGAAACTAAAAATTTAATATTTAAGAGTTGACCGTTGCATTATAAAGGAAGGAGATGGTCCGGGGTTGCGGTCATAAAAAGACTAAATAGTGGTAAAACTATTTTATTGAAAGCCAACGTTTCAACCCGACTTTGCAGGTCTTCATCAGAAACTAAAAATTACTTGCCTACTTACTCATCTTTACCGAACTCTATCTAAACCCAAACCCATTCAAAATTCCATCTGACCTGTTCTTCCTACCAACGTTTCGGTTGTATCCTCACAGGGGGGAGACCAGAATAATGTTTTGAATGATTAATTATTTATTAAAGATTAAACTGCAGCAATTTTTTGACACTCTAGTAAATCATTAAATCAATGAATAAAATATTCAAAAATAGTTTTTAAAAAAGTAACCGTTCTTTATTCCACAATCCTCATGTTACCATCGGCAGTAGTATATATGGCATTTGTACTTTTCAAAAACCCTTTGTATACAAATCAAAAAGGAGTTGGGTAAGATAATCTGGTTGACAACCTAATAATCTAGAATAAAAATAAACGAGGTTGCTTGTGGATGGTTGTCTCCTAACCGAACTCGAATAGGTGTGAATTTAAAAATAAAGATATTAAACAATATACATAAATTTTAATTTAAGTTAAAAAAAAAATGTCTTTACAGTTAGTTACATATCAATATTCATTTTTCTTCGCATAATTTTTTTTTGTCCCTTGATAATCTTAAAAAAAAAAAAATAGAAGACTTCGTATAAAATTTTAAGTTTTAATGATACTGCAGCATGTATCATTTTTACCAAAACAGAGCTTCAAATCTATTTGTTTCGAGTGGTGGTGTTGAATCCCTTCCAGAACCTAGAGCAAACTAAACCCTGGAACCACAACTCCTTACTAACTCTGCGTAGGCTGTTCCTCTTGACCCAGTGATCGATTGGCTCCTCAGAGTTTGGTTTAGCCTGTCGGTCAGGCTAATTGCATCTTGTTCCCTGTCTAGGAAGGGGTTTCAACATCTTTCCGACACTAAACGTTAACATGAAGATTACGGATCATTTGTTCCGTTCATCAAGTTGTATAGTAGAAATATTTTGTTAAAATTATTTTCTTAAGATATTCATTACCTTATTTTTGTGGTTTATTATGCCTCTACTCTCCTCATTCCTCCTATAAAAGATAGCGGCTTTTAATTAATGCATGATCAAGATCTTGAATAAAAACTGTTTTTTTTTTATCTCAATTCGCATTTTTATTTTATATTCCTTACTGTGAGGAGCATCTGAATGAGTTAGGCATTGGGATGCTAAGCTCAACGTCACGGGTTTGAATCCGGCTGATTTAATTTTTCATCGCCCGTGGATTGACTTTGGGTCGGGAGACACTCCTCGGACACAACCAGCCTCTATAAAGTGGTTACTCTTAACCAGATAATTAATTAAGAGGGAAAACCTGGTGGTTGAGCATGGTCCTGGTCCGATCACCTCTCTGCACAACCATTGGCCTTGAAACAGGACTATCTAGTACTGAATCCATAACACTTCATGGGTTGTAGTGGTACAGGTATTTTTTTTCTATTTATCAATACAAAATTTATTTAAAACCTTCTTTAAGCTTGAAATGGTACTTAATAAGCATTATGCTAAGTCTGTAGTTCAGTGGATGTTAAATTAAGGACTTCAATTAGCGATTCATATTTTCCAGGATTTAAAAAAAAAAAATGCTATTTCTCGAACGATGTCCACTCAAATATATCATTAATAGGTTATTATCTGAATATCCTAGAATAAAACCTCAAGTTTCTTACGAATCAGTAAATAAATAAGCAGACATCTTTTGCCTTTTGAACCTTATCATCAGGATTTAAAAACGCGAGTCATATAATGTTGATAAGGAATAGCACATCTCACTTTAACGACCTATTGAATTTACCGTTAAACTAGGTTAATGGATTAAACTATTTTTTTTGTTTTTAGCCAAAGCATGAAGGTATCTCCTATCTAAAAAAATACAGTTGTATCTGTGTAGTAGTAAGTTAATAGTTAACTGCAAGACTGTTGCGAGACTTACGCATGACCAAGACTGAGTTTGCAAGACCGAGACTCTTCTCAGTCTGTCATCTCTAATGAAGAGTGATTAGAATTCTCCGTTAAACCTTTTGATAAAATTTAATGGATGCCTATATGAACGAATTTAACATCTTTGTTACCTAGTTAAATTGATTTTTTAAGGTCAGGTATAGTCTCTTAAACATCAATGCAAGTCAGCATTTAATTTACTTACAAGCCATTCATATATTCCTGTTAAAATCCACGTGGCTGGCGTTTCTAGATTTTGACGGATTACTGAGAGATTATTTAGGCTTTGGTGAACTGCAAAGTTTAAAGAAGATAAAACGTTCCCCATGAAACTTTTTTATACTGGAAATAGGGAGAGGGAGAGTGGTAAATAAGGGCTTATAAAAGTTTTAATTTTGATAGAAGTGGAGCAGGGATGGAGAGGGAGGAAAATGGGGGGGGCGGTTTG